ACAAATAAATGCTCTGTCTTACATATTGGCAAAAAATAAATAAATCAGAAAATAAAATACAAGCTGAATAGTCAAGATCTTGTTGAGGATCCAAACTCTGTCAAGGACCTTGGAATACTCATCTCTAATGAGTATTAAGTGCTAGAGCCCACTGTAACTATATAGCAAAAAAGGCATTAACAGTTGTTAACCTAATCTTAAGTAGCTTTTTCTCTGCTAATATCACACTACTAACTAGCGCATACAAAACATTTGCCAGACCAATACTCGAATACAGCTCATCAGTCTGGAACCCCACATTATGTATCTGATATTAGCACAGTTGAAAAAGTCCAGAAATATTTCACAAGAAGGGTTCTACACTCCTCTATTCATTGCAGAATACCTTATGCCACTGGACTCTAAATTCTAGACCTAGAACTACGCCGTCTTCGGTCCAATCTAAGTATAGTATATAAAATCATACATTGCAATGTCCTATCTGTCAACTAATACTTCAACTTCAACCATAACAATACAAGAGCAAACAATAGATACAAACTCAAGGTAAACCGCACCAAACTTGATTGCAGGAAATACGACTTCAGCAACAGAGTGGTCAATGTCTGGAATACTCTACCTGACTCTGTGGTTTCTTCCCCAAACCCCAAAAATTTTAACCTTAGACTTTCTACTATTGACCTCATCCCTTTCCTAAGAGGTCTATAGGGAGTGTGCATAAGCGCACCAAAGTGCCTACCGTCCCTGTCCTATTGTTTCTTTTATTTTTCTTATATGTACTCATTTCTTGTATTCATAACTATGTTTATCCTTATACCTATTATCTTGTAAGCGATTGACAAATCAAATAAATAAATAAGTAAGTAAGTAAATAATAAGCATTACAACTTCTGAGAGTATCTAATTCCAGTCCTCTTCAATTTGTTGATGTCTAAGAGAAAAATGTATAGTTGATTCAGTTCATTTTTTGCTATGCTGTTTTCCCATGCTCCTGCTTCTTACATTTCTTTCCCCCGCTGTGACTCTGTCTTTGCGGCTTTAGATTTTCTTTTCCCTATATGGCAACATTAGCAACTGGATGTCCCAAAGGCTTTAATCTAGTCTCCACACAAACAGCATTAATAAGTAAAATCATCTGATACTATATCGACTATACTGTCCACAAATTGGTAAAAGATCCCTTAGACTTTGAGGGTCCAAGAGGGATATGCAACTCTGAGGGTGATTGGTGACATGAGAGTTTTCCCTCCCACTATTTAATTTTTTAATAGTTCACTTTTAACTTTGTTCGTAATTCTGTTTTAACAGTTTTTATTTATTTAAAAAAGGTGAGATGGGTGGTGTAGAAAAGCAATCAATAAATAAAACCCAAGAGCAATTTACCACATCCCTTTCCAAGGTATGAAATTATGCCTTTGCTATTGGCCCCAGAGCGTCTTCTGATTTGCTGCTGCCCAATATAAATGTCTGTTTATTTTAGCTGGGATTACTTCCACACACGTTGGGTGGCCCTCTTGGGAGTACACTCCTGGCACTCATCCCTCCCAGGAACAACCCCCAGACTCACTGTGAGGCAGCATAGGAGAATTTGAGAATTTACTGTTCACAATTATAGCAGGGCTTTTATCTAATAAAGTGTAGCATCTAATTCACAGCAATTTTCTTCTACTGTATTGTCAAATTTAAAAAGGTGCTTTTTCAGAAAGAGTAGGTACTTGTAGAGTGGGAATTCTTGGGAACCACTTATTTGCATCCAATTATAGTATATTATGACTTGCACAGACTATACTATTCTCTGAGGGCCTCTTCTTCCATAGATGTGTTCTAGGTGGGTCAATTTTTGTCCATAATTTTGTAATAACATTTTGTGTATCCACATTTTCATTAATAGCCTGCAGGTTTTGATAATTTAGAGTAGAATATTTATTGAGGTGGTCTAGTTTGTATAAGGTTTACTAGATATATGGCAGCGTGTCTTACTGTTATCTTTTCCCATGTATATACAGAAGCATTCTAATTATTCTATTTTGCTTCATTATTTTAATTTTGGTCTACAACAGGGGTGTCAAACTCAATTTAATTGAGGGCCACATCAGGGTTGTGTTTCAACTTGGGAGGCTGGGGGGGGCATGGCCAGGGGGTGCATGGCCAACTTGATGCCCGTTTTTGGCCGTGATGGCATCCTGCATCCTTCTGCCAGTGAAAATGGAGCTACTGAACTCCATTTTTGTTGGCAGAGGCACCACAGGCGGTCCTTCGCTATATCCAGGGCGGCTCCACAGGCCAATCTAAGCACCCTGCGAGCTGGATTCAGCCTACGGGCCTTGAATTCCACACCTCTGGTCTACAACAATAATAAAAGGTATTTTATTTGATTTTTTTTGCTGTATATTCTCAACATAATTATTATGGTAAAAGATACATAAAGTTTGTTGGAAAAGTTCCCACAAATTCCAATCTCTAAACAGGTGGTTTCTCACCTCTGGATGGGATTACAGAAGATTAAGAACTGTAGCTCTAGTGCACCTAGAAAGCACATTTGGGAGAAGAGAAACGTGTCAGAAAAATCAATCATGTTCCTTTTGGTACAGAGCCCCTGAATTAACTGGTAGTTAATCTTCAGGTATACTTCAAAACCTAGCAACATGTTTTAATCACTGGTTGGCTAGAAAGTTGTATGGGAGTGAAGGTGAGAAGGATGTTTATAATGAAATGGAGCACACAATGAATAATAGCAAAATCTGCCCCTTGACCTATTTTCTTATGCTTTTTCCACCCTCTGTGATAGCTGATTTCTCCTGGTTGGCTTTGACTTCACTCCCAACCTCTATGTTTTTCATTCTGTTATCAAAACAGCCACCCATCACTGCAACTTGTTAATGAAATCATCAAACAAACATGTTATTCTGAAACAGGAGTGTTAGGTTTGTTCCATAAAGACCAGCCTGCTTTTTTCCTGGATGAGCCTACTTTAGGATGTCTATCTAGCAAGGCCATGTGCATAGTGCATTGGATCAGAGCAGCCAGCTATCACAAAGGACACACAGACACACTAATAGAAATGGTATGAATACTAACCAACTGAAACGTACCAGGAAGAGAAAGGCTGTTTTAGAAATGCTAGAACAGTAAAAGGATGAGACAGAATTTGAAGTGTGCAACCAATAGTCTCTTTTATTTTTTTCTGCATATGAAATTTAAAATGAAGAATACTGCTAAGGCAGCAGCAAACACTTGGCAACAGTATCTGTGGGGGGAGCAGGATGGACAAAAAAGGGTTGCATCATAATGACAAACCCCACCCCACTCCGTCTCTTCTGCAAATGCACTGAGACCTTACACAAAAGCATGGCAGGAGTGGAGGTTGTAGTATGATGGCACATCAGAACCATTATTTTGAGAAAAAGTTTCTGTTGACACCCATAAATGCAAGCTTATAAAAGTCTGCAAAGCCTATAAAGCCCATAGATCTAATATTAAAAGCTAAAGGCAATCAATATAGTCATTGAGCGGATCTTCATTTTTCTTCCCTTATTGATCATCCTCAATATCTTGCCTGATAGATGTTCATGGTTCATATTTTATACCATTTCTGGTTTATTTGTTTTTTGCCTTCTCAATTTCGTAGGTCAAGGAAAAAGAATTTCCAACCCTCAGTATCCTCCATATCTGTGACTGGATGGGATAGGAACCATGGTTTCGCCATACAGTATGCTTAATAAAGGTTCACTGAATGGCAATTCTCTCAGTTTACACATGCCAAACCACAAATAATGATTAAAATCACAATGCTTTGGTTCACTGGGTCCCCAAATGAAACCACAGTGATGTCAAAATGATAAGAACTGCAAAATACAATCACACCAAAGGCCACTCCTCCAAACTTGTCTCCTGACAAGGGATGCTAATTACACCATGCACAACATTATCATACCCTCCTCAGATACCATGTCGCACAATAAACTAAATCTATACCAAGAAACTATTAAGATCCTAGTCTAAAAAAAAATTAGCTGTAATCCAGAGCCTGGGGCGAAGTGATGGTGTTTAATTGGCTCAACTTTAATGCCTAATGCTGTAAATACTGTTTCTGGTAATGCCTACAGGAAACAAAATTAACATCCAAGTTGTTAATTGTTTATTATCAGAATAAATCTCACACTTCCTAATTGGAAACAAATGCCAGCTTTGTAGAATCTAATTCCAGAAAAGTCTGGAAATTTTCAGATAGTTTCATTTAGGGAACAAATGTGAGAAAGAACTGAATGTACTGCAATATGAGAGAAAAAAAATGAATTTCCCCCTGAAAGAGAGAGTTAGAATTCAAAAAAACAGAAGTTCATACAGAGGCAAATAACAAAGAAGTCATTGCACAGACCACAGCAGTGAGTCAGTCTGGTTTTGATATCATGGAAATTCCACTTTGGAGACTTTAGGACACATAGGCAGACAAGTGCTGTAAAATGAATTAGATGGGGCTTTTGGTAAGAACAAATTGCATGTCCCTTGCTTCTCTTCAAGACAAACCTGGGAAACTGTGAGGAAGCCACTCACAGACGATGCTTAGCTAAACAATCTGCCCCTAGCAAATTGGATCTCATTCAGCAATAAGAATGATCGCCAATTTAATCCTATTGTGATCATCGCAAGTGAAAAACACATTGCGTGTCTGGGGCCTTCCGGTTCGGGTAATTTCTGCCACCCCTCCAACGGTGTCCTGATCACAACGACAACCTGCCCAAACCTGGCGCCGTGTTGAACTACAACCCATTATTCCAAACAGTCCTGACTGCAGGCTAAGCGGGACTGATGAGAGCTGTAACGTCACCCAGCCGTGAGAAGGTACGGCCATGACCCTTGATTCAAACGAAACACAGGATCGCCGGTCCTTCGTCCCTGCCTTTAGCGGCAGCCTCGAGTACGTCAGCCGGTTCCACAGAAGAGGGCTGCTCACCCCACCGGCGCCCAGACAGCTCTTCCCTCCAACGTCTGTCACTCACCGCCGGGCGGCAGCAGGAAACCCAGAAGGACGAAAAGGCTCCAGAGGGGGCTCCAGGCGAAGGCCATCGTTCTCTTCCTCCTCCTCCTCTTAGGCGAGGGAGCATCTGCGCCGCAGTGACGATGACGACGACCCTTTCTGCCGTCTCTCCCTGCGCCGGCGTCTTGCAACGGGGCGTTCCTTTTGCCCGTCAAAGAGCTCCGCCCGCCACTCTGGACAAGGGTGGACCTGCACGGATTTCTCCTTAGGTTTCACTTTCCGTTTCAGGGCAGCGGTGGCAGGACCCAGCGCCGCGTGTCCCGGGACGCTGCGAAGCAACAGGGTCAAGTTTACCCGTCCGGGAGGGGAAGCCACCGGGGTGCTATTGTGGCGCCAAACACGCGCGAAGAGATTGATGCAAGTGACACAGTTCACCTCGTGGCGCACACCTGTAGTCGTGACTTGGGCCTCACTTTTTTAGGCCAAACTTTCTTACAATGCTAAACTGGCTTTTCCCTTTGTATTGCCGTTGCGGCAGTGTGATTTATATAGCATGGCCTTCGGACTTTATCGTATGTACTAAGCCTATGGTGCGTTTCCTCTAAAAACAGTGATTAAATCACTCGTTAAGCAAATTAGGAGCTAGTTAATGTGTAGATCCAATCTCTGATGGTCTGCATCAAGCCCTTGTCCGTAATTAATTTACTTAAAGCCTTTGTCTGGTTCTCACAGCACACTGTACTCCAAATTAACAATATGGAGTGGGATCATATAACTAGATTAAGGTAATTTCTAATTGACCACCTCCTAGTCAGGGGTCTCCAACCTTGGCAACTTTAAGCCTTGTGGACTTCAACTCCCAGAGTTCCTCAGCCAGCTGAGTTGAAGTCCACAAGGCTTAAAGTTGCCAAGGTTGGAGACCCCTGTCCTAGTTCACTGTTGTTTGAACCACAACCACTCAGTGACCTCACTGCACTATGCCAAAAAAAATGTCACTTAGTTTTTAGCATACATGTACAGTAGTGGGGAATCCAGCCAAATTCAAGTTTAATTATATCTTGGTTGCCTTGTGTGGCTCCAGCAAATTAGATTCCAAAGGTGTAGCAGCAAAGTCAATGCTTTTGGCATGCAAAGCTATTTAAGTTATTAGACAGTTACTACCCACCTTAGCGTCTCTATATTTTTCCTTATTTCTGAGCACCATGGATATGAAAATAGAAGCAAATGTTTCACATACCTATGTCTAAATGTATACACAAAGATTCCAGATTTTCTAGCATTCATATCACGATAAATATTTCTGTCATAATCTTTTTTGCGGAGTTGTAAACAATATCAAAACTTTTGGTAGTTTGCAATCTTTAATATAAAAGAAATAACATCTAAAGGAATTGTCCTCAGTGGAGATTTCTTCCTTTAATTTTTCCCTGCTCAAATTCCTTCACTCATTTCTCAAAATCAAGGCTGGCATAAAGGCAAAAAGATATAACATTTGAGCCTACTTACTTTGAATGTAGGAGAATCTTCTTTCCAGTCTCAATGTGAAAGATGTCAGAATAGTTAGAGCAAGATGATGAGCTAATAAAAACAAGGAAGGAGCAGAAATTCTTATGTAAACAATGTAGTGAAAAAATGCAAATGTGTTCAGGAAAAATTGCCTGCATTCTCATAAGTAGGGTATTTGGGGAAGATATGGTTCAATAAATAGGCTAACATCACTAACATCAAACTCACTGCTCAAACCTGGCCGGTAAAGTGATTAAAAAAACCCAACATATTTGGAGGTTTGTTCTCTGATGAGGACCAGGGTGGGATTTAAATTTCTTAACCAGTTCTGTGGGTGGGGCTTGGTCATGTGACTGGGTGGGCGTGGCTTGTATGTACATATTATAAATATTTATGTATATACTGAGTTTTTTATAAAAAAAGAGCAACTTTTACCCAAAAGCAGGCAGGCAGATTGAGTTGCTCACAGAATCACAGATTCACTTAGAGATCTATTTATCTGCAATCGCCTACCTGAGACTGCACTGAAAAGTTCAGTCCTAAGGAAGGTTTGGCTCTGCTTTTAGATTAGCTAGAAAGCAAGAAATCCTTGGATTTCCTGCTTTCTAGCTAATCTAAATCTGGCAGAGCAGAACTGCTGATGGGGGGGGGGGAGGAAAAATAGCAACTTACCAAACCAGGCAAGTTGGATGGCTCACATGCCAGGTAAGGAGTGAGTGGGCGGGAAGGAGAGGGCCCAGCCAGTGGAGCGATTTGCCGATTCTCCGAACTGGGGACAATCGTGTGTGCAGTGTTTGCAAGAAATCATCAGCTGTGCTGCCTGGACAGCTGCCAAGCGCTGCGCTCAGATGCGCAACATTTGAAAATCCTCTTGTTTCCTGCTTTTTCAACCTCAGCTATGCCGCACAAAGCATCTGAGGAGGGAAAAGCAGGGAATAAAGGACAGCCTAGAGCCCGGACAGGCAAGCGGGCCAAACACTGAGCCGGTTTGGTGTCAACTGCTCTTTGCAGCTGCAGGTTCTATAGAATTGGGCTGAACTGGTAGCATCCCACCTCTGATGAGGACTGAACTACAACAATTGAAATACATGACAGTCTGAATTCTAAAATAAAAATACAGCTGAATTATTCAACTAGGCCATATTACAAAGTCGCATGTGAAACTAAAGGAAGAGGAAAAAATGGCCGCAAACGATCTTGATTACATATATACATATATACCTTGTTCCCTGAGCTTTGTTGTTTTCTTGCAGATATTGCATGAAATATCTGCAAGAAGACAACCCAGCTCAAAGAGCATCAGGGACCCCACAATTTATTCAATCCTGAGGTACAAATATTCCCTTCTATCAGTCTTGTGTTTCTATTACATGGCTGCAGAGGTCTTTCGTCACACTAACTGGCAACTGCTCTGTTTCAGTGCTCTCAGTATGTGAAGGGAGGCAGAAACACCCAGGGAGGAAACAGAAAGGGAAGTGAGAAATTCAGTCACTCTGGAACTTGGACATTTTCACTGAGAGAATGCAAAAAACAATGGAAAGAAATTCCACAGGTGCTTTTCCTAATTAGGAAAAATCACAATGAAAAATCACATAATGAACCAGCAGCCTTTTAATCTTCTAAAAATGCTTCTAGCTTTGCAAGTACCTTGTTGAAAGGTGTGCTACTGACATGTTTTCTTATACAGCATCATGCTAACTTCATTGAACAAAAATTAAAATGTTGAATCAATTAATAAAAACCAGATGAGGTATGGAAACCCAACAGTAGCTACAAACATAAGCATAGGAATTTCTCGTCTGAGACCGGAATAATCAGGGAAACAAGATAAACATTGAACTAAGGAGCTACTTACAAAAGAGTCTAGTGGACTAACATGTTTTGTGCCTTCAAGGCAGTTTTTGACTCCTGGCGACTGCCTGAAGTAATGCCTACAGTTTTCATGGCAAGGTTTTTCAGAAATGATTTGCCATTGCCTGTATCACAGGGCTGAGCAAGAGTGAATGGCCCAAAGTCATACGCTGGCTTTATGCCTAAGTGGAACTAGAACTCCCAATCTTGTAGCCTGGTGCATTACACCAAACTTATAAAGCAGGGGTGTCAAACTCACATCATGACATCATGTGATGTATTAGGACTTTACACCTTCACTAAGATGGGTGTGGGCCAGTGGTGGGATTCAAATTTTTTTACTACTGGTTCTGTGGGTGTGGTTTGGTGGGTGTGGCAGGGGAAAGATACTGTTAAATCTCCATTCCCAGCCCGCTCTAGGGGAAGGATACTGTAAAATCCTCATTTTCTCCCCACCCCACTAACCTGCTTTCCAGCTCTGTTCTCCTCTGCAGGGCAACAAAAGAAGACCCAGCTGATCAGCTGAAACTGAGGAGGCAGAGAATAGATGGGGGTGGGGCCAGTCAAAGGTGGTATTCCAAATTACTCAAAAATTCCGCTACCGATTCTCCGAACTACTCAAAATTTCCGCTACCGGTTCTCCAGAACTGGTCAGAATCTGCTGAATACCACCTCTGGTGTGGGTGTGGCCAGCATACGACGCATCCAGTTCGCGGGCTGGGAGTTTGACAGCCCTGTTATAGAGGGTAAAATATGATCACAACTACACCTTCTGTTTCCCCCTCCTCGATCCCAAACACACTAAGTAAGACTTACTTCCTGGAGAAGACTACTGATTTCTCCTAAAAGAATACTACCTTCTGATTTGTTTTAAAAGAGAAGCAAACTGATAGTCCTGCCCATAACATTTGATATACTACAATATCCATTTCACCATTGCTTTTGTATATGACGGTCGTAATATTTATGTCGTAATATTTCTAGTTCACTCAGTAATTGAAGTTGTTTCACTGAAATTCATATAACCATATAATATAAACAGAGGTGGGATTCAGCTGGTTCGGACCGGTTCTGGCATACCTGTAGCGGAAATTTTGACCAGTTTGGAGAACCGGCAAATGCCATCTCTGACTGAAGCGCATAGAACTGGTAGGAAAACATTTGGAAACCCACCACTGAATATAAACACTACTCCATTTTCTCCTTTTTTCATGGTTTTAATTTTGATTTCATTGTCATTGGAAAGCATTGCCCTCTAGTGTTAAAAATGGGGAGTAGAGTCTGAAAAAGAGAAAAGTTCTTGAAATCAAGGGGAAAGTATGTCTGAGCTACTTGAAGCATTTATGAAACACTCCTGTTATTTTCTTTTTCCCATACCAGCATATCCCAGAATTATGCTGGACAGTTCGACTTGAGTAATACTGAGAATACAGGCACTAATATAAGCTGACAATATCTAATATCTTTGTGTTAGAGCTGTCTTGATTTCTCCTTTTAATTTGGTATTAATAGCTACACACAAGGGAGAGGAAGTGATAGAAAAAAGATGCCTTTATTGAATGTCTGCTTGGCAAGCAATTATTGAAGATATACAATAACTGAGAACAGAAGAATTCAAAAATATCTTGCCCATATTCCTAAAATGCCCTTTACATTGTGTTTTATTTATAGCAGGCATAAAAACAAAGAAACCAAAGGGGTAAACCTAGCCTGTAGCTTCTTCTCTTATTCCTCTGATCTTCAAAGTAAAGTTGAAGAAACAGTAAGGTGTTCATCTAGGAAAGGGGAGACCTAGGCTCTGCTCCCAGTATCACACACATCTGTTCATTTTATATATTCATCTGTTCTGATCTCTTATTTTATATAACCTTTTCTCCTGTCAGATTTTATCCAGCTGCTCCTGCCCTAGAGAAAATACTGAACAATATCATTAGTCCCTTCTTACCAAAGAAACAAATAAGTCTCCATCGTTAAAAGTAGGCCAAACAACATATTGCAACCCAAAAAGGACGTAGATGTCAACATCAGTGGAGGAAGTGGGATTGGCTGATGTCCAGGCCAGAGCCAAGTGGTTTGACGTTGACATGAGGCCTTTCACAGTCCCCTATTTCTTCTTGCAGGATCCTTTCTTTTCTTCTTCCCTTTTAGTAAGTAAATAAATAGAAAGGAATTACTTTAGAGCCAGTTTGGTGTAGTGGTTAAGGCAGGGGTGTCAAACTGGCAGCTCACGCAGGCCACGCCCATCCCAGCTCCGCAAAGGGGAAAATGTCACAATACGTAACATGACAGCAACATGACGCCATGAGTTTGACACCCGTGGCTTAAGGCATCAAGTTTGAAGCCAGCGGGGCGAGTTCTAGTCCTGCTTAGACAAAGCCAGCTGGGTGACCTTGGGCCAGTAATTGTCTCTCAGCCCTAGGAAGCAGGCAAGGGCAAGCCATTGCAGGGGCTTGTCTAGGCAATTATGAAGAGTTAACACTGACTTGAATCTATAAGTAAAACAGGGCAGCAAATTAGCCAGGTGGATGATTGCATATACCTCTGAGTTCCTTCATTTTGTTTTTTGTTTTTACAATGTATCACAGATCTTTGCAGGAAGGAAGGATTAAAAAATGTCAAATAGGTTCAACAACTGTGTGATTGAAGCTACGTTCCTTTGTGTGTCTGCAACATATGTAAATACAGGTAATCTTCAATTTACAATCACAATTGAGCCCAAAATTTCTGTTGCAAAGTGAGACAGTTGTTAAGTGAATTTTGCCCCCATTTTATGACCTTTTGTGATGCTGTTGTTAAGTGAATCACTGCAGTTGTTATGTTAGTAATGTGGTTGTTAAGTGAATCTGGCTTTTCCATTGACTTTGCTTGTCAGAAGGTAACAAAAGGTGATCAAATGACCTCGGGACACTGCAACCTTCATAAATACGAGTCAGTTGCCAAGCATCTGAATTTTGATCACGTCATGTGACCATGGGGATGCTGCAATGGTCATAAGTGTGAAAAAGGGTCATCAGTTACTTTTTTTCAGTGCCGTTGTAACTTCGAACAATCACTGAGCAAATTGTTGTAAGTCAAGGACTACCTGTAATGAGTTGGAGTTTTCACTGCATGGTCAGGTCCACCATCTTGACTTCTCAATTTCCACAGACCTAAACTAGGATTGGGCAACTATGGTACCTTTATGGTCTGTGGACATTAACTCTCAGAATTCAATACTTAATATGAAATGAATTGTGTAACTCTATATTATAACCCACAAGGAAACTATCCTGTGCTTGTATGCTTCTAGTTTTTTTGTATAAAATTCATGGCTGTGCATGTTAAAACTACTTATTTAATAAAAATTCAGAATGGAAAAGCAGTTTTTCCCATCCCTAATGTGCCCTAATCTCTAATGTATATTGATCCCTAATGTATCAGTTTAAAAGCACATGTAATGACTATGAAAGAGAAATGTTAGCTTTACATCCAAAGTTATAAAAATTGCTACCTAATACTTCCCTCATTTCCGGAACAAAATTATTTAGTAGTAGTGTAATTCAAATGCTACATTTCGGGCATACAACAACCTGAAAAATTCTAAATTAGCATTTTTTCAAACTTGGCAACTT